TTTCAATCAAGCTAGTGGGTGCAGGGAACTTATTTCAAGTAGTAGATATACAAGATGTAATGATGTAAGATTAGTGTTAGTTTTAAACTAGATCTAATACAAGTGTTAGTATAGATCTATTATACTTGATAAAAGCTGGTAGTCCTTGCTAGAAGCTAAATATGACATAATATTACCCAATGTTTGTCAACTGGTCACCATTTGATACATTATCCTCTACAAACACTTGGTTTTAATAACTCTAAACTCATGATGGTCTACACCATAGCCTTTGTCTTAGCTATAGACTCTAAACATTTCTGCCCTCACAACAAAAAGCTCTAATTATTTTCAACTTTAATACAGGGGGCACAGTAGCTCAGTGAGTTTGTTGCTTGCTTGATTTCTTTTGGTTTGGGCTATGATAAAGTATGGTGAATTTGCTGCTTGATGCTTTTTTCATGGCTACCCCTCTCACTGCAATCAGTTAAAATATTGTCAAAGCTGCCTATAATGAGGCCACTTTCATCTGAACTAAGGACTTTGCTATCCATGGACATGATGGTGACAAGATGTTCCTATATAACAAGATAAACATCAGATCCTATCAATTGGGCTAAAGATTTCCCATGGACAAAAATGGACACCAAGATAATGGCCAAGTCCTTCAATAAATCCAAGTTTTGTCAAAGGAGATCAAAGCATTCACAACAATCAGGGTCCTTGAAACACAAGGATCTAAATGATACCCTAAAATCCTTTAAAAGTAGGGGGAGTAACTTGTTTGAACTTCCTGTTATATAACCACCTAGGTGAAATCTGCCCACTTGAGACAAGATCTGGTTCACAAGATAAAATAAATCCTGAGATTAGTTGTTTAAGGACAGGGATTTCATTACGGAGATTAACACCTTTCAAAATATCCTGTATCAAGTGATTGAAAACCAACACTGGGCAGACTTACAGAAGCACTGGCCTTGGCTTCAGATTTTCTGTTATCTTGAGAAGGATTCCAACTCACAGCATTTTTAAAAAAATTAGAATTCTGCAAGGATACTTCAAATTCCCCTGTCAACTTTTTGTAATTTGTGGTTTTTTAAAATAACTTTACCATTAGGTTTTAATTGAAGTTACCTTTTTCTCACTTCTTTCATTCAACCTAAAAAGTTCCTTTAGAAGTTAGTATTGAAGAACACTGGAGTTCCGCTACTTGAGTTTCCGTCAAGGATTATTAGTCATTTTATAAATAATATCTCTGTTTATAATCTCAACAATCAGTGAATAGACCAATATCTGAGAACGTGATTCTGTCAGATATCACATACAATGTGTCAAATTGTCTGATTGCAGCAATAAATAGCGCTATGATATTCAGACAATTTGCCTGATTAATAGACGATACAGACCAATATTTGTCGATACACTTCCATCTTGTAATCTTTTATTTGTATTGCTTGACTAATTCTTTATTTGTTACGACTATTTGTGTGCGTTTGAGGTATTAGAGTTACAGTTAGATTTAGAATCATCATTTTTTCTGAATGTAGAAAAAGGATATTAAATGGGTAGACTTTTTACAGGACTAATTAGTTGCCTTTAATCTTAATGCTTAAAACTTTTCTACAATCAACGAAAATTGAACGTCATTTTTTTCTGACCATAGCCAAACGACACCAAAACCATAAAATGAGGTAGAGCTTTCTAATTGAAGCCTAAAACTTGACAACCAACATAAAAACCCAAGACCACGTTTGTTTTGATATATATAAGCGAAAAACATCTTAAGCTTCTGAACAATTTTGCTAACTGAACTATGACCCTATCTAATATAACCCTCATTGCACACTGCATGGTGTAGGATGTTAAGCTCCATTATATTCCAATCAAACTTATCGAAGCAGATGTCATAACTTTTTCAAATCAACAATCTTCTTTTCTGATCATTTTTCATACATATCAATATAGACAATGAGTCGGCTTCAAATTTCTGGCATCTCTTAATTATATAATTTACTTTTTGGCAGAATTTCTTAGTTTTTGAATTGAATTAGGTAAGTATAGGGTAAATTAATCACAAATTTTGGCACCCCATTCTAAATGAACCACTATCTAAAAGAAGCTGTGTACATTATTTTTGCATTTGTAAGAAACTGTTTAATTTAGTAATGGCACTTACAGTTAAGCCCTAACCCAAATTTTTTACAAATTAAATTTGGCACTTTTTTTTTGACACTGCAATTTCTTTTGTTATTTTTTTAATCCCAAACCAAATTTTTTCTTATAAAAATTATTTAGTTTAAAACAATGAAACTTGTTTTTTATGACACTGCAGTTAATTTTGTGATTTTTTAACAAATTTAATTAAACCATCATCTTAATTGCAATTAATTAAAGTGTCACATTCTTGAAGTGATTTGGTAAAAATAAAAGGTAATTAATAAAAATGCCAAAATATATTGACCTAATTAGTGAACCTTTATTATTAAGGTTTTCTGCATCTGCAGGCATGAATTCACCAATCTGAAGAAAATGCTTTGAAAAATAAATAAGAAACCAAGAATTTAGGTCCCAAAAAATTCAATGCTTCCCACGACAAATTTACAAAAACTTAGTAACCATAAATAGAGGTTTTTATAATACACATATAATGAATCAATTCATTGTTAATTGATCTACAGCTAATCTTTTCAAACCCAATCAAACTTGTCTACAATCTGACTGCGTGTCAATTAATCTAGAGAGTCCACCATGATTAAATTAAATCAACTGTCACGAATTAGAAACTTGGTCTTCGCTTCCTTCCTGATTGAATCAAGAAAATCAGGTCAAAATTTTCAGAAAATTATAGAAAAATTTCAGAAATGTAAAGCTGAAATTTAGCTTTATCAGCTGGTAAAGCAAATATTTAAATGGCTATCCCTTTTTTTCAGGTGTTTTTTTTTCTTTTTTCCCCAAAAAATGAGTTTACAAAATGCGATGTTTGCTGTTCTTATTTTGAAGATGCAAATTCTTTCATTAATGTTAGGTGGTGATGAGAACATAGACTCATAAAAGCACCGGCCTAGGTATCAAAGGAAAGATTATTAGTACTTTCGCCCTTTGGCGTCTGCTCTCTAAAATGAGTTTTTAGACTTTGTAGTTTGTAGTTGGCTGTACTAAATTTGAAAATGGTCTAACAGTAAATGAATAATCATCTTAAGTTATTACCATATATTTAGGTGACTATATTGAAGTTTTCAGAAAAAAAAAGTTCATGAGTTTTTTGCCCTTTGGCGTCTGCACTCTCAAATGAGTTTCAGAAAGCTAGCTGGTTGTATAAATAGTAAAAGAATAATCATCTTTAGTTATTGCTGCTCACAAATCATAACCCCCTGGTTTCATATTACCGCCTCTCATAAAACCTCACTATGAATCTTAATGATTTACAGTTAGTTTCTACCATCTCAGTTCCTTCAGAAATAATGACTTGTTTTTGACCTGTTGGTCGCTGTTATGAATTTTTAGTTATTTTTGTCTGAGGTAATTTCAACATCATTTTTTTTTTGGAAGTTTAGACTTAAAATGTGGTTTTAGGGTAATTTTATATTTAAAGGGACAGAAATTTCTTCAAAAATATCTCAAACTAAGAATTTCTTTTCATATTTCTATAGATGTCTTTTCTTGACAGAGTCTCATTAAAAGGCAAGTCGTCTTTTTAACTTTCAAACAAGGATAATTCTGTACACACATGGATTTGAAGGCTCATATTTCGACGGTGAGCTATGAACACTGATTGGCTAAGCTAAAAAAATTTCAGTTTCTGAGACTAAGGTATGATTGGTCAAAAAAAATATAGGGGCACCTGTCCCTTTTAGAGTTTTTTGGAGATACATTAGGAACTTCCCAGCTAATAATGAGCTATCATAGAAAACACCTACTAAATTCTAATGTAGCTAGGTTAAAAAATTAACTAATTCACTAAGTTAAGAAAAAAAAACATTTCTCCCAAAATATATAGATAAAAAATATCAGCTAATTTGCAATAACTATCAAAATTTATTAGGCTAAAATAAAATGGCAAGTTAAGGAAACTAAGAGTTAGAATTGATGAGGTTGTTGCATGCAAGGAACTATCTCTCAGATTATCGCAGGAATTAGGTTACAGAGAAATAATGCTGACTCGACAGATTCCTATTGTCACAGTGATTACCATGGCCTTAAGCTAAAATCAATTCCTGAATATCACAGGCTACTTGGGGACAATTCTGAAAATCTGCTGACGAGACAATTAATTCTAGCAGATATCTTCAGGGACATTGTACTTTTGAAAATGGTTTTGGTTTTAATTTTGGTTTTTGAATAGTATATCAAAGTTCACATGAAAAAAATATTTATTTTTATTAATGTGTTTTGAATTGAGTAATCTGTTTACCTAATTACTAATTGAAAAGTAATGTCTAATATTAAATTTTTAAGCTCACTAGTAAGAGCTTATACAAGAAAAAAATGTTCCAGTGACAATTTGGTTTACTTTTTAAAAGCCCATTGGCAAAAAATGCTGATTAGCTAAAAACTAGAGAATTTTTTTCCATATGCCAAAGGAACTCCAAACATAGGGCTGAATTACGGTGAAAATCCCCTCCTCTTACTCAGGATAGCGTATGCAGTAATTTTGTTGACTACGATCTCCAGTAACCCTTTCATACTCTTTGATTTTATCTGATATTCTAAGGTTTTTAATGATCATCTTTAATCATCATTGATTATTACTTTATTTTGTCGTTGATTGATCTGAATTTTCACCTCGGCCCGTGCTTTCGTAATTCCTATTATATATTGTTGTTACAACCACTCTCACCTAATATTGTACATGTAGGCTATGTGGACGACTAAAAAATGAGCAGAAAACAAGAAGTATAGATAAAGAAATCAAACTGAAAATCAGGAAAAATTAAATCAAGTTTGAAAGAAGAATAAAACCAGGAAATAATTAAATACAACATGCAGTGAAAGAATATTAAAAAATTTAATCGTAGACTAACCTGTTCTGGCTTCAATCCTGGAGGTACCCACGTATATTCCTCTAAAGGACATCCACTGTCATCATCAGACGTTGAATTCCGTTTAACATCGTGTATTAACCTTTGAAGACTTCGATCCTGTTCACTGCCCACAGACATGTCATGTGTTTCTGGCGGACATTTACAGTGTCGGCAGATTTTCCTGAAAATATAAAGAATATTGAATTGAGATAAACTATTTATCAGGGCTGTTGATTTGATTGTATTTACCAGTCATGTCTGACTAGAACTTTTTGATGTTGATTGGCTTTATTTGCCAGCTAAGATGTCTGATTAGCTGTATTTGCCAGTCATGTTTGATTTGATGTTTAGGCTATTTATGGGTTATACTTGCTAGTATTGTCTGACTCGAGCTCTAGAATGCTGAACTGACTGTATTTGCCAAAGTATTTTTAAACTGGCACAATCTAAGAATCCTGTCTCCTGCAAATGTCTGTCACTTACATAAGCAGAAATCTTCTGCAGAAGGCGAGAAAAAAAATATATATACTGAAAACCAACATCGATTTTTAGTTTATAGATTTTTACACCAAAATATCAAATTAGTATGCAAATAGTATCAAGAAATAGAAAATATTCTCTAATGACGCAAAATAATTGACAGAAAAGTATAATGGCAGCCAATTGGCCACAACAACGCAAAATAAACCACAAGATTTGGAATTCACCAAGCAGAAAATCTTCTGCAAACAACCTTAAAATCTCCTAGAAGAGAAATCAAATTTTATCGACAAATTTTCTTACGAAGTCTCACACTCAATTTGTTAAATCATTCTTCAGGAAAATCTATGTTATTTCTGTCAAAGTTAAGGGGAATTTGTTTCGAGATCAATTTGCATAAATGTCGTTTGAAAGACAATTGATAATTCGCCTGGTATATCCAATCTACATAAGTCAAATTACAGCTTTACAGTTGACAGGAAGTGCTTCCATTTTGAAAATCTGAATCTTGAAAAACACAGAATTAGAAATCCTAATCCAAAATGGTGAAACATTAAGTTGTTGCCTCAAAGAATTGTAGTCTGCTTCACATTTTGACGCTGAGGGTTTGAATCCCCCTTCAAAAAATTCAGATTCCACTTTTGGAAATGAACCTCCTTTCAGAATCACTCAGGACGACCTGAGACATTTTGATCACTAATTTACTTATGTTGTCTTACACAGATAGCTTCAGGCATCTTGAAATTAATTTCCACACAGAAACTTGCTGAGTAAGCAATATTTCTGATCGAGATTTTAACCTCTGGCGATTCAGAGTTGATTACCTGTTGACAGAAATGGCGGTCTAGAACCAATTATGTCTTCATAAATGAGATTGGCAACACCAGACATCACCTTACTTTGAGTTATAAGAGAGTGATCCCCTGTTGTACATTTTGACATCACTTTACTTTGGTTTTTTTCTAAAGGTTGATCAAGTGTTGTACTATTGCCTGTTCATAGAAACACAAGACATCACCAAACTCTCAGTTATATTCCAGAAAGTGGTTAAGTCTGTTTATAGAAACACCAGGCATCACTTATCTCTGAGTTATATTCTAGAGGGTGATCCCCTGTTGTAACATTTTCAGTTTACAGAAACACCAGACATCACCTAGCTTTGGGTTATTTTCCAGTGAGTGGTACTATTGTCAGCTTACTGAAACACTATTATCAACTGCTTTATGTTGTGAGTGATCCCTTGTTGTACTTACAGAAACACAAGACATCACTTAACTATTGGTTATAATCTAGAGGGTGGTTCACTGTGGTACTATTGCAAAATCTTGGTTTTGCACCTTGCAATGTTTATGGGGAAAGAGTTGGCCATTTCCTTATAAAGATCTAATCATCATCCTAGAGTCTAGTTCCATATCCCCAAGACAGCAAAAAATGATCATCTTAATGTGTTTTAGCAGACGGATAAGGTCAAAGTATGCTGGGATATATAATGTCTGATGATATCAGCTAGAAAATAAGCTATCATTATGATTATATTATTCCTACTATCTCTATATCTATCAGAGATGGTCAACCAGATATACCTTCTATAGGTCAGAAGTTGGCCGTTAAATTTGGAAACGGATTCGCTCACTAAAGAAAAAAAAAGGGCAACAACCTTGCTGGCAGAATTTTGTTTACTGGATTGTCAATGATTTACAACTAGTGACATCTGGGAAAATATGATCAATAGCTCAATATCAACCTGTACCCACCAGACTGACAAAAATTGCAGTACCATAGGTTATTGGATTAAATGAACCTGATCCACCAAAATCTGCTATCATTCAGTTAATCACAGATTCTTTCTTCATATAAGCATAAGTCAATAGTTCAAAAAAATATATTGAATTACCGCCAGTCATTTTAAGGCTCTAAACAGACATCATCTCCTATTTCTAATATACAGAGAATATCAAGCTAATTTCTATTGATACACAGACTTAAATTATTGCCAAGCATTTTCTACCCCCTAACAGACATGACTGGTGCTAATTTTCATACACAATCTCCTATTTTCTAATATACAACAAAAAACTCCTGAGAAAAGACCAAGACCAGAGTCATATCCGCTTATTGTCTATTTCTGAAGTCATTTCCAAACATTTTGGTGCTTTCTCTTGGTGTATTTCTCCAAAATACACAAAAATATCCAGCTAATTTCTATCTAAAATCAGACCAAAATCACCACCAAGCATTTTGTATTACCAATCAGACATAACTGGCTTAAATTTCAATACAAACCATTTTCTATTTCCAATATAAAGGAAAATATCCAAACCTAATTCATATTTCCCCAGTCACTTTGCTTACATCATGTAAAAGCTAGCCGAGTAGAATAATTCCATTATAAAACTATTCACAAAACAAAAACACTCCTATTCTATGTCAGTCACTTTTCTCTTATAGTTTGTCTACTGGTTTTAGAGATTCTCATCTTATTGACAGGAGTGTTGATTTGGCTGAATTTGCCAGTCATTTTCGACTACAGCGCTAGCCTGATGTTTTGACAGTTATATCTTATTAGAGCTCAATCTGTAATTGACAGTAAAGTTGAATTGAAACAACTGATTGAGTTGTTGATTTGATTGTATTTGCCAGTCATGTCTGATATGTTGCAAAATGTCAACAGTGTGATTTATCAGTAGGACATTTTCATTAGAATCAAATGTTTTGGAAAATGTATTACAGGTTATAAAATCCTACTTTTTTGCCCCTACTGTGCCAAATAAAAGCAAATAATGCCATACAGTATCCAATGAGGAAAAATGGCATTGTAGCAACAGCCTACTCAATACAATACTGATAAACAGACCAATGTCTGCCATGGAACGAGAGATGGATTGTTTTGTCATCCATTTTGTCATTCCTGTAATTCCTTTAATGTTTCACAGACATAATCTATCTTAAAGTTACTTAGACATGAATTGTCACATTATGGCTAGTTTTACTAGATGAATGAATGGAAATGAATGAATGAATGAATGAATGAATGAATGAATGAATGAATGAATGAATGAATGAATGAATGAATGAATGAATGAATGAATGAATGAATGAATGAATGAATGAATGAATGAATTGAAAAAAGCATTTCACTGGCTAAGATCTGCAACTAACCATGTTAACTCTCTACAGAGAAGCATATTTCACAAAACCAATAGCGCAGTGTCAACAGGAGCCTTAAAACCACATAATATTCAGTAGTCTTTGAAGGTTATAATCAACTTTACCAACCATAACCAAAATGGTTCTAAAATTTGGTAAAAATGGCCTCTAAAAAAGTCAAAAATGGCCCTGTGGCGTTAAAAAAACATTACCTTGTTTCAGCACTATTATAGATATTCTGTATATTCAGTCTGTTTACATCCATTTTGGTACAGTTTTATTACTAAGCTTGCACTACCTCCATTACTTCTAATACTTCTTTACTGAAGAGTTCTCAGATATGCGAACAAGGAGAATTGAGTTTAACAACCGACTTCAAAGTTAAACTTAAACAAAGTTCTGTCACTCAATTTAAAAGTCATGTAAGTACAGCCGACTTTTTCACACCTTGGACTTGTAGCAGACGGTCACTGATCAAAATAATTCAAAATGTTGTGACGTCTGATGTGTCAATTGCGAGTGACCGCAAGGTTATCTCTCCAGCCACTGGACACTGGTCAGAAATAGCTCGGTCAGGAAATGATCAGTCTTGTTGTCAAGTGTGTCTGGGTTTTATTAAATAATCCTATAGATATATCTGTTGTAAATCACTCAATCTTGTGTAGGTCTTGTAGATCTCAATGTCTATTGCAATGTATATCCAATCTACAAATTTAACGTGAATGCTCTAAAATCCAAAGTCCAGCTTCTGAATGGTGGATTTCCAAATTTATTGTGTATCAAACCTAAAAATTCATTGTGTACACTACAAAATCTTAATCCAGCTTCAGAATGGTGGAATTCCCAAAGTTCATTCAGTGAGTAACCACACTATAATATCCTTGTGAACACTGTAAAATCTAGATTATAACTTCTAAAGTTAAGCTTCTGTTGTATTAACACATTCACTATATGTCCAATAGTAGTCCTTAGCAGTCCAATGACTGGCAACATGTACACCAACAATTCAATGTATTACAGCAACAATCCAATATATTACAGCAACGTACACCAATGTATTGTACTCCACACACAAAAAAATTCAGCTAGGTCCTGCATGTACCTGCCTCAAACACGTTTTCACTTCAACTGACCCTGCCTATTGTTATCTTGACCGCTTCACCAAATGTGTTGTGAATTGACTCAAGGTGGCCAGCTGAGTCTAATAAGTGGAAAAACAGTTCCTTTCACACTGAGAGAAAGTTGCGAGCCTTACAACACTAACCCTTAAACAATTTCCCTACAGGTGACCACTCAATAGGGTCTCCAATTACAACAGAGGGGCTCTTTGATCTGGCTGACCCTGTACCCTTACACCTCTATTCTTACTGACTCTCAATACAGCTTGGCTTATGGTTGAAGGATTAAAATTAAAGGGAGTAAATGACTATAGGATGTCCAGTGTCTGATTAACTGACCAATCAGGTGACCACTAGGACTATAAGGGTCATGCCTCATTGCCCACAGCTTGGCTTGGTGAGCAGACAAGTGCCTAATCATGTCATACTTGAGTGAACAATACATTTTGTGCA